GTGGGTGGATTGCTTGAGGTGCGACGAGTTACAGAGACCCAGCCTGGCAACACTGATAGGAAAACATGTCTCTAGCGTAACAATAAAAAATTAGCCAGGACGATGAGTGGTGCCACACTTGGTAATCCCCAGCTTCTCAGGAAGCACTAGCGCACCAGAATCGCTTGAACCCTGGAGGTGGAGGTTGCAGTGAGCTGAGATCCATCACTGCACCTCCAGCTGGGAGACAGAGCGAGAACTCAAAAAAACAAAAAAACAAAAGAAAAAGAAGGAACACGGAAAAAATCAATACTGAGCTGGCATTTCTCCTTTTTGTACCTATTATAAATAGCGGACAGAAGCCTGCAGGAAAACCTCGTCTTCAATAGAAAAAAAAAGGGTGATATCTGTCATTGGCTTTGCTTTGAATTCTTGCTTGGTTGGTAGTAGCAATTAGTAATGAATAGGTTTTAAGGCCCACGCATAGTGACTTAATTACCTATAACTACCCTCAGCACAGTATTGCGGAATGCCCAAGCGAGAGATCACTTTCACTTTGAAAATCAGGAGTTCAAAGACCCAGCTGCGAGACACCATAGTAAGAGCTGATGGACCCTGTTCTACAATTTTTTTTGTTTTAGAGAAGCTGGAGTCTTTCGGGAAGGAAACAGCTTAGCGGTGCAGTTGGCTTGAGCTGATAGGGAAAGACATGGAGCTTCAGGGAAGGGGGAAATCAGCTTAGCTGGTGCCAGTGCTTGAGCTGATGGGAGAAGCATGGGTCTCCGGGGAAGGAAACAGCTTTAGCTGGTGCAGTGCCCTTAGCTGTGGGAGAAGCATCAGTCTTCAGGGAAGGGAACAGCTTAGCTGGTGGCAAAGTGCTTGAGCCTGATGGGGAGAAGCATGGAGTCTTCGGGGAAAGGAAAACAAGCTTAGTCTGGTGCAGGCTATGCTCAGAGAGGCCTTGTTGTCACCGAGAGAAACATGATGAGGAACGCAAGCAAGCAACTAGCTGGGAGGCGCATGAGCTGTGCTCTGAGAACGACAGGGAGTTTAACAGTCTTTTGGGATCCATTGTCCACCCAACCGTACAAGTAGAGTGCAAATGACAAGTGCCATTTAGCACATCAAATGGAAGCCCAGACAACTGGAGAGCAAAGGCCGTACCTGGGGGTGGGGCAAGGACCAAATCATACCCAGACTGGCTTTGTGCACAACCCAAACTCAAAACAAGGGAAACTGTGTTTTTGTTTTTGTTTTGTTTGAAATGCTTTCCTCTCGTGCATTAAATGCATTTTGAGTTTATTCTGACATTCCATTAAACCAAATCCTGCCCCTCATTCTCGATACGTGGTTACCAGGGCAGGTGTAGTCGAACCTTCAAAGGCTCCATGGGGAACACATGAGGGCTGGAGGGGTCTTTCATTAACCCTGCACCAAACCATCTTTAGCTCCGTGTGCACGTGGAAGTGGTTTAACGATGCTCATCACTTGGAGGAACGAACAGTTAACCCTCTCCTGCCTATCGGAATGGTAGGCGTTATTATCTTTTATGGGAGATGAGCTGTGCCTGTGGTTTGGCACTCACTGGATCTGGCTTTGTACTCTGTTGCCCAGGCTGGAGTGCAGTGGCCGGATCTCAGCTCACTGCAAGCTCCGAAAATTTTAATGTAAAATTATAAACGCTGATCATCCTTTTCTCTGAGAAACATATCGGCATCAGTTAACTAGTAGATTCTTTTGTTTAACGCTGGGCTGACATCACAGTACCTTTCACTAGGTGTTATCAATAGATGGCACCGTGACAAAAAGAAACAAGTTCTTACTGCTTTTCATTGTTTTTTGGCAATATATGTGTTTTAAGCTAATATATGTGTTTTAATTTTAATTTTTGTGGGTACATGGTAGATGGATATATTATAAGCTAGTATTTTTTTAATGGAGAGGTTATATGGTTGTCCATGCACTGTCCTATGAATTTCTTGTGATCACCACTGAGTTAATCAAAAAACAAAGTTTATTTAAATGAACACCAGTAATTCTCACAGGGAAAAAAAAAAATGCCGTCACAATGTACTAGCACAAATTGCCATAAAAAAGTCTGATTGTAGGATGCAGAGCTTGCTAAAAGTGTCATCTGACATTCTACTTCTCATAATAAAGATTGTAAGCTACAAAAGGCTTACTTGTTTGCTGTAGTCTTTTAATAAATATTTTACAAGCTTTGTCAGAGACAAAGGATTTGTCATCTGATGGACACAGTGTCTGCATCTTAAGGTGTTTTGGCAACAGAAGATAGGTAATGTCAAACTGTAGGCCTGGCAGCTCCTGTCTCAGTTGTGCTTTTGTTTTGTCTTTTAGGTATTCCAATGCTGCTAGAGTTCTTGGAGCAAAATATTGCCAAGGTTTGGGAAATGCTTTCTTAGCAAAGTATTGCTACCCCACATTAATTGTATCTTCTCTCCAGTTTGATGCTTTTGGATTAATATGCCAACCAAATTTGTTTAGTTACAAGTCTGTTTATTAACATCATGCATAACGATTATCAAACCTATGTTTTCTGGCACTTCCCTATAAAAGATTTGCTCCTTGAGGAAATGACCCTGTCTTAGACATTTTTGTACATCTCACACCGTAGTCTCCACATTAACTACTTTGTGCTAACGTAACTATGTATTGAGCTAAATTGAATTAGAGAGTGACAGAGAGAGAAAGAGAGTATGTGTGTATATGATTACAACCAGAAACAAGAGTGGAACTTTTATTTACCCTGTAGTTATATTTTCCTTCAAAAGGAGAAAGCAGAATGAACTCCAAATTTGAAGAAAGTTGGAATATTCCATGTTTGTGCAGGCATTAAAATTCTAGATTTTTTTTCTTTTTGCTACCACAAAGCAAAACCGATATGGTAAGGAAAATTATTTGCATCCAGAGGTTGAATACTAGGGTAACCTGCTGTCTCCTTATACATTGAAGGCTGTGGGCTCTTTTATAACGACATGGAAAAGCTTTATGTGCCTATAAACCATTTACATTTGCAGTGGAAAAAATTCTAATTGACTATTTAATGTTCTTTTTCTGTAAAAAGCCTACCAGAAATCTGTAATTCTATTCCTTCCTCATTACTGTTATATGTTTCTCAGAAACTAGCACACTATATGTCTTATCTTTTGACTACTTTGCATTCTAAGTACTAAAATGTAAGTGGACTTGGTGCAACCATGGTCAGCTGTTGAAGATATACAAGTCCTAATCATGGATAAATTTACTATGCCCTAATGGGGATATTGCTTGGTAAAAATTAATTACATGCAAAGCCATCAAATTTTATAGACCAAAATATAAATATAAAAAGTATGTGAGTACATACATGGTTAAGTAAGTAATTTCCACATGGACTTTTGCTTTAGCACAGCTTACTAAAAAATGTGTTTTGTAGCTTGCTACTGCCATCTGCTGGTTCTCAACTCTTAGACTTCTAGCGATTGGTGTACTGCAATGTACCAATTTTGCAATATAAAAGGGAATTGGGTCTATTTATTTTATTTTTGGGAAAATCTTAAAATATTCTTTGAGAGTAAGACATCAGGATTTTTATGTGGTCCATACAGTATTATTTTTTAGTATGCTTTTAGCAAACAAACTTACCAGTCTTTCTCTACTATTAATAATGTGCTAATTTTGTATTTGAGTTTCTCATCAAACCTTTTATTCCTTTGTCATCTTTTCCTAGTTTAATGGATCGAGAAGTGGCGTTGCTTGCTGAAATGGACAAAGTGAAAGCTGAAGCAAGTAAGATGATTGATCTTTAATTATAACTATTACCTTCATAAATAGTAGGTACCTACTTCCCCACCCTCATAACAAAAGCTCCATATAAATACCATAATAAGAGTTTGTATATTTAAATAATCTTAAGCAGTTGCATTGTACTGGCATATGAATCCTTTCAGGTAAAATAACTTTAAAGAGCCTGTTTTAAAAATATTTCTAAATCTTAATACTTTGAATGCAGAGTTCAATGTATAAAAGACTACATCATGGTATCTGCTACCAGGTTTTTATTTTGTTTCTTCCTCCAGTGTTTAAGCAATTCCACTGGGATTTTTTCTACTCAGAAAAAAACCTTTAGCATAATCAGAGAAGACTTTATTAGGTTGCCTACGATTGAATGTATATGCTCCTATCATTACCTATCTCAGAACTTTCTTTGTTTTCTCAGTTTATAGAACAGTCTTCACTCAGTATCTGTTATCAATGGTAGGGGAAAAGTTAGTGAATTGAGGGTTCAAGATACTGGGTTTCTTTTTTTTTTTTTTTTTGAGACGGGGTCTCGCTGTGCTCCCAGGCTGGAGTGCAGTGGCGTGATCTCGGCTCACTGCAAGCTCCGCCTCCCGGGTTCACGCCATTCTCCCGTCTCAGCCTCCCAAGTAGCTGAGACTACAGGCGCCCGCCACCACGCCCGGCTAGTTTTTTGTATTTTTAGTAGAGACGGGGTTTCACCATGTTAGCCAGGATAGATACTGGGTTTCTTGAAAGCTTACTAAAATAGATTCTGGAGGAATGAAGTCTAACTTTGGTGATTTGTGGGGTTTTGTACAGAAAAAACAGATATCTATTTTTTGATCATTTCTGTTAAGTGTTAGGTTAAACATACACAGCTACACGAAGAAAAGGGAATACCAACTGCAACTTGTACAATGGCATTGATTTGGGGCATTTCGGTGGCAGGTTTTATCTTCCTGCATTAAATGCCAGATTTATTATTAGGAAAGTTGTTGATTTTAACCCACCCTCAAACTGATAAGAATAGAAATGTTGGGCTAGGTTGAGATCATGACTCACAGTTAAATCACTTGTGTGTGTGGTCACGGGCCAGAGGATGCAGCTTTGAAGCACTGAAATGACTTCAGTTTGGGTCCATTTTAACTTGAAAATTTGAGAATGTAGCAGAGATGCCTTCCACTGTTTTTCAGAGGTGAGATTTCGTTTACATTGAGCAATATATTTTGAGTTTCTAATTTGACATTTCAGTCCATTATTTTATCTGTACATTCTCTTTTTGAAAATGGAAATTCAGATAAACTAAAACCATTAAGAAGACATATTTCTTACTTTTGAGAAGAAGGTCCTTTAAGGCCTTCTTCTTGATGGCTCACACATATAATCCCAGCACTTTGAGCGGATCACCTGAGCCCAGGAGTTTGAGACCAGCCTAGGCAACATAGTGAGATCTTGTCTCTGTGAAAAATAAGAAATTAGACTGGGCGCAGTGGCTCACGCCTGTAATTCTAGCACTTTCGGAGGCCGAGGTGGGCAGATCATGAGGTCAGGAGATCGAGGCCATCCTGGCCGACATGATGAAAACCCTGTCTCTACTAAAAATACAAAAATTAGCTGGGCATGGTGGGGCACGCCTGTAGTCCCAGATACTCGGGAGGCTGAGGCAGGAGAATCGCTTGAACCCAGGAGGCAGAGGTTGCAGTGAGCTGAGATCGCACCACTGCACTTCAGCCTGGCAACAGAACGAGATTCCATCTCAAAAAAAAAAATTAACCAGGCATGGTGGCATGTGTTATATGGCTATATGTAGTCTCATTTACTTGAGAGGCTGAGGTGGGAGGATCGCTTGAGCCCAGGAGGTCGAGGCTGCAGTGAGCTGTGATTGCACCACTGTACTCCAGCCTGGGCAATAGAGCAAGACCCTGTCTTGATATAAAGAAAAAGAAGGTGCTTTTAAAAATATTAATACATCTTTTATATTATAGAAAATTTTGACTGAGCGCAGTGGCTCACTCCTGTAATCCCAGCACTTTGGGAGGCCGAGGCGGGCTGCTCATGAGGTCAAGAGATCGAGACCATCCTGGCCAACATGATGAAACTCCATCTCTACTAAAAATACAAAAATTAGCTGGGCGTGGTGGCATGGCCTGTAATCCCAGCTACTCGGGAGGCTGAGGCAGGAAAATCACTTGAACTCAGGGGGTGGAGGTTGTAGTGAGCCGAGATTGTGCCACTGCACTCCAGCGTGGTGACAGAGCGAGACTCCATCTCAAAACAAAACAAAACAAAAAATTTCAAATAGGCTAATGTAACAAACTCCCATCACTCAGCTTCAACCAATTATCAAGTTGTGCCCAATCTTATTTTATCAAATTCAGAGCTCAGAGTTTTACTTAACTTCATCAGTTTTATATCTTTAGCTCTTTTCTCCCTGAAAATCCTGGTTCTTAATGACATGATGTGATTACTCATTTACCAATGCTATTAAGAGTTGCTTTTTGTTTTTTACATATTATAATTTTATTAAGTAATTGATGGGTTTGTAGTATTTCAGTCTTTTCCAATGTTGTATAATTAGGTCCTGTGAGTTATCTGTTATGTGTAGAAAGCTTTTTATTTACCTCATTTTTGCCATTTTGAGAGCTATAATTTTGTCATAGAATCACTGAATGCTAGAGCTGAGAGAAACTGAAGTTGATACAAATGGCAAATAGGTTTTATCTTGGGAGCTAAACCAATAGATCATTTGTAACTGTTGGGCTTTGGTGTTAAGAAACTTTTGTAGGCATGCTCCTGACTCCTGAGAAAGTGGGCCCTGACTGATTAGTGTAACTTGGGTCTAGGCAGCCCATGTGTGCATCTTTGTGGCAGGCAGTTGGGCTGAGTAAACTTGCTAAATACATCCAGGTCTCTGTAATACCTGGTGTAACTCTTTAAAATTTCTGTTTTTTTCTGACATGAATTTGGCTAATTCCTCAGTATGTTACAGGATTCTGTGTATATCAGTTAGGGATTCAGTTTGACTACATGGAACAGAGTGGCCTAAATAAATGTGAGTGTCCTTTTTTCTCAGGAAATGAAAAGTACAGAGGTAAGCAACCCAGAGCTGGCAGGACATTTCCAATATGACATTAGGGACCCAGGTTCTTCTGTCCTTCTGCACAACCATTCTGAGAGTATGCTTATGGTCAAAAGACAACTCCCTAGGCTCCAGTCAAGAAGGAGTAAAATGTTACATGCTAAGACTCCTTTAAAACACTCTCCTGTAAACCCTGCCCTTTGAGTTCTGCTTATATCTCAATGGTGAAACTGTATCACATGACAATTTCATCTGTAGCAAAGCCAGAAAATACAGATTTTTTTACCTAATTTTGTTGGTACCCAACAACATTGGATTTCTGATAGCCCTGAATGTTCTTGAATATAGTTGGAAAGACTGTGTTCTATCAACTAACGGTCTTTGCTGCAGTCCTCCCCTACCCAGTATCCCTCTTTTTTCCAAAATGAGAATATGTTCACCACCTCCTCAGTAGCAATACCTCCAAAGTCTCATCTAGTTAGTTAATATTCAGCTGAAAGGCTAGGTCTTCAGAGTAATTTCAGATCTTCCAAGGATGGGATCTCATAAATTAAAAGAAAGGCTAAATGCCCCCTTCTCCAATATTACACAGTTGGAGAAAGAAAAGGATGATTATAGTAAAAATTCCCACTTGGAAGAGCAATGATCAAATCTTGCTGGCGGGAAGGAATAGCAGAGTCCCTTCCCTGGTAGTAGTGAACATTCCTTGGGTGGTTTATCTGCTTCCAGGGAGGATTTCTTTGGTTCAGTTTCCACTGTAGCCCCTGTCTCTCTGGGAGATTTTTATTGTCTGTTCTCTGCCATGACCAAATTGTATCCAAGTTGTATATCAGAAAGCATGCCATAGAAGGTGGTTCTTAAAAGGGTGTAACAATCTAAATACCCATCACTAGGGAACTCGGTAAATAATTGTGGTATATCCCCGTATTCAGTGGCTGTTAAACAGAATGAAGGTGATCCAGATGTAGTAATAGGGAATAAACTTAAAAATATATTAAGTAAAAATAGCTAAGGTAAAGGAAAGACCATGTGTATGATATACTTCCATTTGTGAGAAGGGAAAAAGGAGAGATACCTATGTATACATGTTGTGTGCACATAGACAATATTTGGAAGTGTACGTAAGAAATGGTGAACAGTGGTTTCCTCTGGAGAGGAGACCACAAAATCAGAAATAAGAGAGATGCTCTTTTCATTTTATACTCAACTTACTCTAGATGAATATTTTTTATTATGTGTACATATTTCCTTTTTAATTTATATGCATCTTGATAAAATTTTTTTGACTAGAAGGAGAAATAACAAATGATTTATGAGTGTTTGTGATTTATAAAAAAATGTTTACTACTTAACTGCCTTCAGAGACCCAATGGAAGGTAGAGACCGGACTTTTGATATTTTTATTTTCTGGATGGATGGGCAACTAAGCCTTTGGCTGACCAAATACCTACTGCAAGGCTTATATTTCTAGTTCTTCTTTATCCTATTTAGCAGTAACATAAGGTTCACACTCACTTTTCCTCTACAGTGGAAATTTTGCTCAGCCGACAAAAGAAGGCTGAACTTCTAAAGAAGATGACTCATGTGGCTGTTCAAATGTCAGAGCAGCAATTGGTTGAGCTCAGAGCCGATATCAAGGTAAAACTTCTTTCTGCTTTCTGCCTTTCTTCTTATCCTCAGAGGCTAAAGTAAGAACTTTTCATAATTCATGGCCATATCTAATATATTAAACTCATGATCTTCCTTTCCCAAACCTGGCCCTCTTCCAGGTCCCTTTCTCTGTAAGTGGTATTGTCATCTACCTAGTTATCCCAGCTGGAAACCTTAGAAAATTTCTCCATTTCCCACCTTAAATCTATCAGCACACCCCATCCATTTGACTAAATCTCAGATCTGACCTTATTTCTTCATCTCCACCACCACCATTATGATCAGATTACCACCATCTCTTGCCTGGACTTCTGTAAGAGCCTTTTAACTGATTGTGTTCATCCATTCTGTCTCTGCCCCACCTGCCCCACAGTGTAGGTTCCCCACACTACAGCAGTCTGCTTCAAACTTTCTGTTGCTTTTAGGATAAATACTATAATCCTTAATCCGGTATGAAGGACTGTGTAGTCTTGCTCTGCCATTACCCTCAGTTCATACCATCCCCCCGGTCCTCTGCCCTCAAGCAGAGAGCAGAGGCTGGAGGCTTCTACACTCCACAGACACACACGCTTTTCCATCTGTCCAAACGCTCTTCTCCCGGCCGCCAACCATAGTTACCACTCTTTTTCTTTTTTTTTTTTTTTTGGGAGACAAAGTCTCGCTCTGTCACCCAGGCTGGAGTGCTATGGTGCAATGGTGTGATCTCGGCTCACCGTAACCTCTGCCTCCCGGATTCAAGTGATTCTCCTGCCTCAGCCTCCCGAGTAGCTGGGATTACAGGCATGCACCAACATGTCTAGCTAATTTTTGTATTTTTAGTAGAGATGGGGTTTCTCCATGTTGGTCAGGCTGGTCTCAAACTCCCAACCTCAGGTGGTCTGCCTGCCTCAGCCTCCCAAAGTGCTAGGATTACAGGCATGAGCCACCACACCCGGCGGCTAATTTTTATATTTTTAGTAGAGATGGGGTTTCATGATGTTGGCCAGGCTGGTCTCAAACTCCTGACCTCAGGTGATCCACCTGCCTCGGCCTCTCAAAATGCTGAGATTACAGGCGTGAGCCACTGTGAACAGCCCAGTTACCACTCTTGACCTCCTCATCCTTCCTGACTTCCCCATCATATCTCCCCATTCTATACTTTCAGAGCACAGTTAGGATTTTATGTGCATTTGCTTAATTTGTCTTCCCCACTAGATAGTGAACTTCACAGTGAGCTCCTGTCTCTCCAAGTGCCTAGCACAGCACCTTGGTATGTAGTTGGTCTTCTGTAAATAGTTGGTTGGCCAATTCTGATTGTATAGAGAAAAATTATCTTTGAGATATTTGTTGTAATCTTTTTACAAAAATCACTTGGGTTCAATATGTATACCTTTTAATTCTTTTTTGTTTTTTTTGAGACAGAGTCTCGCTCTGTCATCCAGGCTGGAGTGAAGTGGCGCTGTCGCCGCTCACTGCAACCTTTACCTCCCAGGTTCAAGTGATTCTTGTGCCTCAGCCTCCCAAGTAGCTGGAATTACAGGCATGTGCCACCACGCCCTGCTAATTTTTGTATTTTAGTAAAGACAGGGTCTCACCATGTTGGCCAGGTTGGTCTCGAACCCCTGACCCCAAGTGATCCACTCGTCTTGGCCTCCCAGAGTGCTGGGATTACCGCACTTGGCCAAATTCTTACATAAAGAACAGTGTTTCTGAGACTAAGCATGTGAACCTGAGGGAAATTGGGATATTCATGGATCGTTGTGGTCATTGGCATTCTAAATAATTGTTTATAAACTGGAAACTGCAAGCTGTGACAAAGGGAGTTGGCCTTCTCCACACCTGTGCCCTTTACCTCTTCTCTTTCTGAACACATAAGATTTATTGTCACACTGAGAGAACACTTGCTGTACAACAGTCTCTATAAAATAAAAACAGAGGTGGAATATCATCCAGGACCTTATAGGGATCCTTGCTATCATCTGACCCAGTGTTAGACCTGTGAAGTATTGTTCTCTCGCTGCCTCCCCTTCAACTCTATTGGGGTGAACTAGCCAAATCATGCAAATGTTCAGTTACCATTTTCTGTTTAACTAAAACTATATGATTAAATTTTATAGAAAGGCCTCCTCACATTGATGCCAGTCAGTCTCATTCAATTCTTGGGGAGAAGCCGGAAACCCCTTTGGAATTAGATGAGAATTCTGGCTCTCACAGGCTTCATCTGTTCTTCTTCCCACATGGCTGAAAAGCTGCTGGAAATATTTCTGCAGGCTGACTAAGGATCTGTTTCTTTCCACTTTTTCAGTGTACTGAAGTGGGTGCTGTGCAATTTAAATGTCTTATTTCCAGATCATTTTATTTCCGTCATTCCTATTATGTCTTTGACTCAACAAACCCTAGAATTTGTTTCAGAATTAATCTCAGACTGATATTACATGTCTGAAGGCTTTGTAACAAGAGGTTCGTGTGCTTTCCTAAGCCGCAACATACTCTGAAGTTTTAGGAATTCAAGGCTGGAAGGTCATTTTTCTCTCTCCTTTCCCTTTCAGTGCTTCTGGTTGCTTCCCGAGAATTCTGATGCAGAGTAGTATTAGGCCACCCCCAGTTAAGAGGAGTGTCCTGAAAGGTTCAGTTCTTCCAAATTATATCTAGGCCTTTCACTTTTCTTTTTTATCTCCTTTTCATCTGAAAAAAAAAATGATTGCAGTCTACTTTAGACATTGTTTAATGAAATAGACCCCCAGAAGCACTTTATTCCTGACATGTTTCTAGTACCACGATTTTTATAGCATGGTTAGTTTTTGACTCAAGGGGTTGGTTACTTCTCAGCTCAGTCTGCTTAAAAGGATTAAATTACTTGCAGCATAAACTTCTCATTTGCAAAGTTCACTTTTCACATGAATGATTTTCCATCTCAAGAAATTGTTCCTATTTCAAGGACTAAGAAATCCTACTTTATTATAAAGAGATTAAGTGGGTTTCCTAAGGAAGTTCCTATTAACACCAAACCATCTATCTAAATGGTATCATTGTAGTACCTTGTAAACATTTTTGCTGCCTCTGCTTCTGTATAAAATGGAAAGAAGTGGAGAATAGCCAACAGTAGAAAGATGGCCCTCTACTATAAAATCTTCCTCCTCTTTTCTTTCTTTCTTTTTTTTTTTTTTTTTTTTTTGAGACGGAGTCTCGCTCTGTAGCCCAGACTGGAGTGCAGTGGCCGGATCTCAACTCACTGCAAGCTCCGCCTCCCGGGTTCACGCCTTTCTCCTGCCTCAGCCTCCCGAGTAGCTGGGACTACAGGCACCCGCCACCTCGCCCAGCTAGTTTTTTTGTGTTGTTTTGGTAGAGATGGGGTTTCACCGTGTTAGCCAGGATGGTCTCGATCTCCTGACCTCATGATCCGCCCATCTCAGCCTCCCAAAGTGCTGGGATTACAGGCTTGAGCCACCGCGCCCGGCCCTTTTTTCTTTCTTTACATTTTCTCTTGATTATATCGAATGGGCTTTGGCCATCACGTAGCATTTCATAAACTTACAGACTTGCCTTTGGGCTCTTGAGAAATTGAATAGATTTATTCGATCACCCAGCGTTGGTCATGTGATGGCCATTTAATAAACTTTGAAGCAGTAAAAAGACAATTAAAAATGATTGTTTTATCTGTATAGTAAGTTATGGATTCCATGGATGATGTTTGTCTAACCTGGAGGCCTTTCTTTGCCCTTTCTCCAGCACTTTGTTAGTGAACGTAAATATGATGAGGATCTGGGACGAGTAGCCCGGTTCACCTGTGATGTAGAGACCCTAAAGAAGAGCATTGATTTATTTGGACAAGGTGAGATGGTGAGAGGGTCTGGGCACTACAGTTGGTGATTATTAATAAGAGACTGACATGCTGATTGTCTTCGTCCCGATTCCTCATTAGTGCCTCTTGTTTGCTTGTTTTTGTGAAAAGTAACTCTGGGATGCTTATGAAGTCCATGGGTCCAGATACTTTGAACTCTGAGGACAAGTATTTGCCAGCTCCCTAAATGTGAAAGACTGTTTTTTCATGCTGAATTGAGAGGTGCATGATATGTGGTATAAAGAGCATGGGCCCTTCCGTCAGACCAAGTTTGGATCCCTGCCTCTATAGTAACCTCATTTTACTCCTCTCCAAAATGCAGATAACAGGCCAGGCGCGGAGGCTTACATGTGTAATCTCAACAAATTGGAAGGCTGAGGCCAGAGAATCACTTTAGCCCAGGAGTTCAAGACCACCCTGGGCAACATAGCGAGGTTCCCATCTCTTCAAAAAATTAAAAAGAAAAAATTAGCCAGGTGTGGTGGCACATGCTTGTAGTCCTAGCTACTCAGGAGGTGGGGTGGGGGTGGGTGAGGGGGGAAGATAGTTTGAGCCAGGAGTTTGAGGTTCCAATGAGCTATGATTGCCACTGCACTCCAGCCTGGGCACCAGAGCAAGACTGTGTCTCTAAATAGGAGAAAACAATACTTGTCTTGCCTAGAACATAATAGACCCTTAAATAATAGCATTAAAGGGTAGGGGAGTACCTGTGAAGTGAGAGTTTCTAGTGACCTGTTTGTCAAACCCTGAACTTTAGCCTCTTTGTTCTTTCTGTCTAGTATAAAAGTGAAATATTGCCAGGCGCGGTGGCTCACGCCTGTAATCCCAGCACTTTGGGAGGCTGAGGTGGGCACATCACGAGGTCAGGAGATCGAGACCATCCTGGCTAACACGGTGAAACCCCATCTCTACTAAAAAATACAAAAAATTAGCCAGGCGAGGTGGTGGGTGCCTGTAGTCCCAGCTAATCAAGAGGCTGAGGCAGGAGAATGGCATGAACTCAGGAGGCGGAGCTTGCAGTGAGCCGAGATCGCACCACTGCACTCCAGCCTGGGCGACAGAGCGAGACTCCGTCTCCAAAAAAAAAAAAAAAAGTGAAATATTTAACCTATGGCAACAATTATAAACTCATTGTTAGTCCAGGCTTAAAGCCAAGAAAAAAAATCTAGAGAGTGGTTTTAAACCATTGGAATTCTAACACAATTTGAACTGAAAATATTAATATTTGTTCAGTTAAATAGGTACTTTGAATTTGGGATTAATTTTGCAGAAAGAAATTTGGCAATATACGTGTTTGTTGTAAAGATTAGTTCTATTCATATTTAACTGATCTTGATTATTTATACCTTGTATCATTCAAAATTCTTTTAAAAATTTAGTAAAGATTTTATGTATGTACCTTTTTCTTTCTTTGCCAAGACTGTACTTTAGAATGTTTCTTGCATAGGAAACTGAACATATGGTCTATACTATTGTTCCCAGGCTTAGTCAGCTGCTAGAGCCATAGCCAGGAGTTTAGGTAGTACCAGATCCAATCCCAAGAAGTCATTAGTTGGTGGGGAATGGGTAACTTTGATGTTAAACTGTTCTCTTGTTTAAGAATTCCTTTATAAAGCAGTGGGGCTTTGGAGAAAGTGGAGGAAGAGGGCAGAAGGGAGATTTTTCTTCCTGTTACCAGTTTTAGAGGTTTTTCTTTACTTGAATAGACAGTTCTTTATCTTAAATTGCTCATTGTGAAATTGAGAAAGTAGAAACCTTACCCATTGTGCTGTTCCATCATATGATCATATATTCCTCATATTTCTGTTCCAGTGTCTCATCCAAAGAACAGCTATTCAACCAGATCCCGATGTAGCTCAGTTACATCTGTGTCCTTGAGTAGCCCAAGTGCTGCCTCTGCTGCTTCCTCTTCCACCTGTGCCTCTCCTCCCAGCCTTACAAGTGCTAACAAGAAAAACTTTGCACCGCGAGAGACTCCTGCAGCCATAGCAAACTCCAGTGGCCAGCCCTACCAGCCACTTCGGGAGGTAACCTAGCTTCTACGCTGAGCGTGTTAGGAAGAAAACCCTCCAGATTGTCAAAGCTTAAAAGCTGATAGCTCAGTATATTATCTTCCTTTCTTTATTCCCATTCCACGCCTGTTTTGAAACCCTCCAACCCAAGTTAGTTCCTGAGAAAGCATTAGATACGTATGTTCCAAACTGCCAGCCAGTTTAGATTTCCTGTTGCCAAGAACTGCTGACTTTCTTGTGTTGGCAGCGATCCCTGCTGTTGTAGATAGTATTGCCTGGTAATTAGTCACACTGGGAGTCGTGCACCCGTCTCAAGGTAGACAGGCACCACAAGTGGCAGTTTCACCAGTGTGCATCTGAAAGCAGCAGCTCCCTAGAAGGACAATGTGGAATTTATAGGGAAAGAGAGAGTGACCTGGTGGGGATGGGGGGAAAACACTAGAAAGCTGAGGAGTAATCCCATAGGTTCTTCTCCTGTTTGAAGAATAAACACAAGAGCAATCCAAGGCAGTACCATCAGTAATTCTTCAGAACTGGTATGACGTTTGGAATTGGAGGACAAAAATAAAATCCCATACCATAAGCTTTCCGGATTATATTTTGAAAGATGTGCTGAATGCCACAGCAGCAAGCTTTAATCTATAGTCATGACATTTAGTAAAGCAGGCCATAGTGATGTTTACTTTATTATTCCAAATGTTTATTATCTTTACCAATGGCCTTTTATCTGAAGAGTTCAGACATAATATAATATACTTGTCCAGTTGAGGACTTGTAACAACCCACAGAATGTTCTTTCTTCCTTATCTTTCTTCTTGCATCCAGCTAAAGAAAAGTAAATTCTTCAGTGGAGAAGAGCCTAGGCATGAAGAGCAGGGCAAGATGGATTAGTTCTGAAGTAGTGGCTAGGTTGGATCAGCTGACAGAATTCTTTGAGTCTTGAGAGATAAACTGACTCCCAAGCATGGAATTCCACAATTCTGCTTTCAGAATACTCTTGTAAAGTGAACGAATGGGGTACCATAATGCTAGAGCACCTTGAACATTGTATTCTTTTATCTTTAGGTATTGCCAGGGAACAGACGAGGACAAGGCTACAGGCCACAAGGCCAAAAGTCCAATGACCCCATGAACCAAGGGCGGCATGACAGTATGGGTCGTTACAGAAACAGCTCGTGGTCTTCATCTGGTTCCAGGTATCAGAGTGCTCCATCTCAGGCACCAGGAAACACCAGTGAAAGAGGCCAAACTCACTCTGCAGGGACCAAAGGAACTGGAGTCAGCGTGGAGCCAAGCCCTCCCATGCCTTCATTCAAAAAGGGGCTCCCCCAGCGCAAACCCAGGACCTCTCAGACTGAAGCCGTGAACTCTTGAGAGAAATTCCAGTTGGCCTCTCTCCTCTCTCCACACAGTTCAACTTGATAACTGGACTTTAGGAAACTTAGATTTAATAACAAAAAGAAGTTTATGCGTGTTGCTTTTTGTGCCATTCTAAATATTGTTGGTTTCTTATCTCCTTATTTCCTCTTTACCATTTTTGGAGGGGAAGCTATTTTTTTTCCTTGATCTTTCCCAGTGATATGGATTGAATCTGGTTGGTCATTTCCACCAGGAATCAGAGGCAGCTGTTACCAGGTTTCGGCCTTCCAGTTGACCCCTCCACTGTCCAGGCTGTCTCAGGAGGAGGTGAATCAGAGCTAGTCTGTCACCTTTCCAATCTAAGCAGAAGCCACAGGTGCCTGACAGGTTCCCTTCAACCATTTGACCAAGAGAGGCAATGAGGGGATCATATGCTGCACTGGATTTGCCAGAGAAGGGAAAATTTAATTAGTGAAAAGGAAAGAACACTAGGAAACATTTGAGAACCTGCCTCTATCCCAGAACGTGCCTGAGATTTGACACTCAAATCAGTGTTTAGTCTTCTGCTTGGCACCATAGCTTAACCTGCAGTTTCTTCAAAATGCCTAATGCCTTGTTTCCTATTACCTTAGATTGCAAACCAGTCTAGGGAAGTCTATGGGAAAATAGCATTTAATTAAAGTTAAAAAAAAAAAAAAAAAAAAAGATTGGGTGCGGTAGCTCACGCCTGTAATCCCAGCACTTTGGGAGGCCAAGGCGAGTGGATCACTAGGTCAGGAGTTCAAGACCAGCCTGGCCAACATGGTGAAACCCCGTCTCTAATAAAAATACGAAAATTACCTGGGCATGGTGGCGTGCGCCTGTAATCCCAGCTACTCAGGAGGCTGAGGCAGGAGAATCGCTTGAACCCAGGAGGCAGAGGCTGCAGTGAGCCAAGATTGTGCCACTGCACTCCAGCTTGGGTAACAGAGCGAGACTCAGTCCCCCCCAAAAAAACGAACTTTTTTTCTGTTTGAATGTTTGGAGACTTTTTTTTGTTCTCTCCCTTTCCTGAACCCTATTCTGATCCTGAACCAAATTTATAGCAATATAATTAGTGTTAATCTAAGGCATTACTCATCAAAAAATTGCTGCAATCAGTCTTTATAGTTGAATAAATAAAAACAGCTGCATAAATATTCCCACATTTGTTTCATAGGAGCAAGTGGTTTCATTTCATTATGTTTTTCTTTGGGCCTCATGGGGGTAGAAGTCACTCAGACAGCTTGTTCCAGGATTAGATGAGGGTATCTGATTCCCAAGTCATTTGTCTGCCACCGCTGTGTAGCTTCAGAACCAGATTAAAATGTGAAAGCCTGGATGAGCAAATGCAGTTGTTCCTAGTGAGAAAGGATCATAGGATAGGGAATGGTGACTTTCCAAAGGAGAACTTAACCACTTTAGGAAAACCACAGCTCTCCAGGCTCTCCCAGGTAACCAAAGGTTATAATGGCACTGCTCTTCCCAACTCCCTGTCCCTTGACTGAGTACTGAACGTAATTGAGCTCTTGCATGTAGCAGGTGGCATGGGTGCCAGACCCTTCCACCCCGCACTCACCCCTAGCATCTGTGATTTAATCACAGCAGATCTTTTCTTTCTCTGGCATGTGTTCTCCCAAGTCTGAAGCCCAGACTGTAAGTGGCAGTCGTGCAGAACGTAGCTGCCTCAGGGCTTCCCTTGCCTCCTTGGCTGAAGCTGAGCTGCCAGGGTTCAGGTTGGTTGAACACATTCAGAGAGAGAGAGAGAGAGAGAGAGAGAGAGAGTGTATCTATCTGTCTTTCGGTAAAGAAAACAGTAGTCAAGGAGTTCTGGGAAAGCCATTTTCCAAGAACACCTCATTTTGGGGAATTTGTCCAACAACACCAACAGCCTGCTGGGTGTCAGGAAAAAACCCTGCATTTCTGATTAATTGCTTACCTATACTTTATCAGAAATCCAGAGATTGAAGTGACCTTGAAGGATTATGAGGTCTGTCCCTGTATCCAGGCAAGACTATACTTAACTGCCCAGACAGATGGGACAAGGCATGTTTATCAAAAATGCCTTGAAGTTAAAATCTCCTCATAGAAAAATATTTGAAAATTTTTCATGACCACAAAAAGTTTGAAAATTATGAATTAAAAAAGTTTTCATTACAAAAGTAGTATTTAAAATACCAACACAGAAATATAAAAGAAAAAAGTTTTCCATCTTTCCACTTCTCAGGGGTAATGATTGTTAATTTGGCATATATCCTTCTACGCCTTTTTTAAATGGGGTCTTACTGTGTTGCCTAGGCTGGAGTGCAGTAGCTATTCACGGACATGATTAGAGGGGACTGCAGCCTCAAACTCTTGGGCTTAAGCAATCCTCCTGCCTCAGCCTCCTGAGTAGCTGGACTGCAGGTGTGCTCCATCACTCCTGGTTAGACTGTTTTTTTGTTTTTTGGTTTTTTTTGAGACAGTCTCGCTCTGTCGCCCAGGCTGGAGTGCAGTGGCCAGATCTCAGCTCACTGCAA